CTTTAACCCTTTAAAACCGGTCGGAGTTTGTTGTTGTTGTTTTTTTACCTTCGGAGCCTTATAAGCCTGTACTGGTGTTTTTAAAAGTCATGTTTGACTTCATACTTTTCTGAATAGTTTCTGGGATGCTTAGAACTCAAATTGCACTGCTGAAAATAGTTTATTTTGATGTACATGCTGTATTTTTGCAAATTTGCATTATGATATTTATTTTCATTTTTCCAGCAGTATATAAAAAATTGGTGTGAAGACACTCAAAATAAATTTCCTGTTGTTAGAAACTATTTTGTGCAACTTTTTTGTATTTACAAACTTCTTAAATTTCTCTAACTAGAAGTATATGTAAAAAAAAAAAAAAAAAAAGATTTTCAAATTTTTGTAGTGTATTGTACTTTTTTGCAATTTATGTAGTTATTATAGACTTAATGCATACATATTACCTAATTTTGGGCTATAACAGCTATACTGATGTACAGCAACTTGAAATGCTCCCAAAAATGGCACTACAGCATGTAAAAATATAAATATAACTCTAGTGGACTTGGTTCTATGGTAGGTCCTAAAGGTTTAAATAAACAGAAAAGTCATTGTGAAACAAATGCTTCCCAAGAAAATACTACAAGTCGTATTGACAAAAATAAATGCTTTTCAGCATTCACACTAATAAAGATTTGAATAACAATGCTGTGAATGCTTTTCAGCATTCACACTAATAATAATAAAATAGTATAATAATAAAGATTTGAATAACAATACTGTCAATACTTATCAGCATTCATACTAATTAACAAAAAATCCAATTTAGGATTTTTTTTTTTAAACAAGAACAAAAGACAGAGTGAACTTGTATTTAGAAATGCATATCTAACAGGGCTCTGGAGGTAGAGCAGGTCATCCACTAATCAGAATGTTGGTGGTTCAATCCCTGGCTGTTATAATCTGCATGCCAAAGGATTCTTGGGATACTGAATCCCAAGTTACTCACCGATATGATAAGTGTGAATGCTACATAGAAAGCACTTAAGTACAAAAACAGTAGAAAAAAGTACTTCAAGTGGAAAGGTTCTTTATAAGAAACAGTCTATCTAAAAAAATCTATTATCAAACAGATTGGTTGATGCAGGATAGTTTAATTCTCATTAAGATTTTCAGTTACACAACAATAGCTGCCTGCCACCAAATGAGATGTAAAAACAATTCCTGATCCTGATTCTATTACATTTGTAAAACAAATTGAGCCAGGGGAGTCCTGAATTGGGGTCCTTTCCCCGAAATGTAAACACATATACATTCACTCAGGTGAGAACAGATTCTATTTATCATCACATACCAGGGTTTAATGTTTTCCAACAGAAGACAGCCCAGACATGGTCACAAGGCACGTGGAGCAGCTTACCTTCAAACATTTACCACAAATTTTGAGGAGCCTCCTTTACTTGGACT